AAATCAATTGCCTTATCCCTTTTTCCAATGTTTTGAGTAAAATATTGGTGGCGACTCCAAGAACCCTACCTTTTGCGAAAACCACTAATCCATGGAGGGTCCCGCTTGGGATTAACATGGATTAGTGAACCATTTTAATAAAATTGTTAGTTCGACAAGGTCTCAGTTTGAGAATAAGTCGTTCTAACAATCCACCACTTTTCAAAACATTAATAAGAGTCCGACCATCGTCGCGAATGCCAAGGTCCGTTTCGGCGGGTGGGGACAACAGCATGATGAAGTACTATCATGCTTATCAAAAAATAAAAGCGGGCTTTCAGGAGGTGTTGGTCGAGCACATCCCGCGCGAAGACAACACTCGTGCCGACCAGTTGGCTCGGCTGGCCGCGACCAAAAAACCGGGACATTTGAGAACGATCATTCAACAAGAGATCGACCGCCCTAGTGTCGATGCAGAAGTGGTGGCATATGTCAATTCCGACCGTGCTGACCAGGACGACTCCCAAGACTGGCAATCCGAAATCAGAGAGTTTCTCATAAGTGGAACCACGCCGGCTAATCCATCCGAAGCCAAACGACTAAGAACCCAAGCCAGCAGATACGTCGTTATCGCCGGCCAGCTGTACAAACGCGGTTTCTCTACCCCGTTACTCAAGTGCCTAAACTCCGCCGAGGCTGATTATGTGACGAGAGAAGTGCACGAGGGTATATGTGGACTGCATTCGGGAGCGAGGACGACCGTCTCCAAACTCCTACGAGCCGAGTATTATTGGCCGACCATGAACACCGACTGCGCGGCGTTTGTAAAAAGGTTCCAGCCATGTTAGAGACACGGCAATTTGATTCATCAACCAGCCGAGCAGCTACATTGTATTCCTCTAGCATGGCCGTTCGCCATATGGGGGGCCGACATACTCGGACCCTTCTCGATTGCCAAGGGACAATGCAAGTTCCTCCTTGTTGTCGTGGATCTATTCACTAAATGGATCGAGGCTGAGCCCTTGGCATGCATCTCAGCTCATCAAGTTCAGAAATTTCTATGGAGAAACATCATTACCTGGTTCGGTGTCCCACACACCCTGGTGACCGACAACGGCCTTCAATTCACCGACCGAAAACTCAATGAGTTTGTAAGGGGCCTCGGAGTGCAGCACAAGGTCACATCAGTCGAACACCCGCAAACGAACGGTCAGGCTGAGTCGGCAAATAAAGTTATATTGGCGGAGTTGAAGAAACGCCTTGGAGAGGCGAATGGAGCATGGGCCGAACAGTTACCCGAGGTACTAGGGGCCTACCGATGCACCCCCCAATCGACTACGCAAGAGACTCCTTTTCGCCTAGTCTATGGATCTGATGCGATGATTCCGGTGGAAATCGGGGAACCCTCATTCCGCCGAGCCCACTTTGACGAGCTTCATAACGAAGCCGAGCTTCGTGCAAACCTGGACACCATGGAAGACGTTTGAAACCGAGCACAGATTGTAGCCGAGGCCACCAAGCAACGATACAAAAGAAGATTTGACAGCAAGGTGAAGCCTAGAGAATTCCGCGAGGGCGATCTTGTTTGGAGAGCCACAGGCGAGGCGAGGAAAGATCCGAGACACGGAAAACTCGCCCCAAATTGGGATGGACCCTTCCGGATCCGACACAACCTGAACAATGGAGCTTACAAGCTGGAGCACCTATCGGGAGAACCAATTTCGAGAACATGGAACTCCACTCATTTGAAAATGTATTACAGCTGATGTAACGAGGCACTTTATTAATAAAGTTTGAAAATTTCATATCGTTTGTGATTTTATTGTTTTAGGCCGAACACTACGGCATACGCCAAACAATCACGCCGAAACAACGTTCGACCGACCACTTAACGGTGTAATCGAGCCATACAGGTTTCCCTCCCGAGTACCCTCCTCGGCTAAAGATGTACCTAGGCCGAACACTACGCCAAACAATCACGCCGAAACAACGTTCGACCGACCACTTAACGGTGTAATCGAGCCATACAGGTTTCCCTCCCGAGTACCCTCCTCGGCTAAAGATGTACCTAGGCCGAACACTACGCCAAACAATCACACCGAAACAACGTTCGACCGACCACTTAACGGTGTAATCGAGTCATACAGGTTTCCCTCCCGAGTACCCTCATCGGCTAAGAATGTACCTAGGCCGAACACTACGCCAAACAATCACGCCGAAACAACATTCGACCGACCACCTAAAACGGTGCAATCAAGCCCTATAGGTTTCCCTCCCGAGTACCCTCCTCGGCTAAGGACGTACCTCAGACAAGCACTAGATTGCGCACCAACACCGACCACGCTAGGGTAATTACGAATACGGGGCAATCAGACGCTGCCATTCGAAAATAACGCCCATCCCGACACCGAACGCTACAACTACCGAACACACTGACCGATATCATTCTCAACACAACGCACCTTAACCAAACTACACGATGAGTAATTCAACGCTCACTCCGAATACTATTGCACAACCCGAAACCGAAAGCGTCGAGCCCGAATGCGTCCGAGTTTAACTCTCGTTACCCAGCGCCAGCGCTAAAACTTCCCCCCTCCCCGCTTGGCTAAGTACGCAGTTAAATTTCACTGATAAATAAACAAGCCAAAAGATTAACGCAAAGGGTTAAATTCATTAAAGTATGGCCGACCTATCCGGCTGCTTACAAAAAATCTGAACCTACCGGCACCAAAGGCCATAGTTACAAAAAGGCACTAACGGCCCGGTTACTCAAAAAAATAATAAAAAGTCCATTACACTTGGGCCGAACTCTCCGGATCCCCTTGGCCGACCACGTCGATGATCGGATCATCTTCCTCCTCAGTTGGCGGCACTGAAGGCTGGGTTGAGATACCTCGACCGGGGGCCTCGGCATCCGGCTCGGCCCCTTGAGGGAATTCATCATAACTTATGAATTTACCCCCATAAAAGTCCCGACTAACATCAAAGTTGAAATCAGCCGGGACCTCGCAATAATGATATACTTGCCGAACAACATGCCTAAATCCCGCGTCATGCTGCTCTAAAATCTTGTCCGTAGCCTCGACTTCGAACTTAGCAGCTTCTGCCTTCAGCCGAGCAATCTCACTCTCATACCCAGCAGCCTCGGCCTTCAACTTCTGTATGACCAACTTCAGGTCATCGGCCTCTCTTTGGTGGGTGTCGGCGGCCTTCTTCAAATCTTCAGTCGAGGCCATCACCTTAGCATTGGTAGCCAGCGCTTCCCTAACTGTGGACTCGGCCTCCTTCAGTCGGCCGTGAAGCCTCGACTCGGAAACAACATGCCTCATCATAACATGTTTAGCCACCAGGGAGGTCCGAGCGTCCAGCTCACAAAATAACTTGTACTCGGTCTCCTTTGTCATGCTTTCAAGATATTACAGCCCGCCCCCGGTGGTGAGCTCCAGGCTAAGCAAATTCTCGGTCTATACATCTGGAGCGAGGAAGTTGGACCTGGCGACGATGGCCGGAATGGCGAAGGCACCGCAGCCGAATTCCTTCAAGGACAGCTGTTTCGACCGCTTCGAAAAAGAGCTCGGGCGCTCCGGCTCAATATTTTGCTCGGCCGCTCGGACCCGAGAGGTATTCCCCTTTTTCTTCGGCTCACCTAGCGGAATCATTACGTGAGCAGGCCGATCCCTCTGTGTCTTTAGCGCCGATCTCGCCGGAGGCACATTCCCACTAGCTTTCGCTTCTTTTGCCCGCTTGGCGAGCATGGCAGTCACATCTAACTTCCCTCCGGCCATTAATCCTGCAACAAAACAAATTTTAACATCAATTCAACACAGTTAAACTACCGAAACCTAAAGCGCATACCTAGCAAGGCCATTTCAAAGTGAGATGTTTCAAAAATGTCTAAAAGGCCTCGGACAGGCAGGCCTTTCGGTAGTTGGTCCAGCAGCTCCACAATTTCCTTGTCCTCGACAGGAAGCCTGGATACCGGCATCGCCTCATAACACGTCGGGCGCTTCGTCCAGTAAAAGGGGAACAAAAGGGTGCCTTCTCGGTCATAAAAACAATCCCTCAAATCTGACCCCCATCGGACCTTAAAAAAACCACTCTTAAAACCTTTATAAGAGGAGGTAAAGGCCCGAAGGAACCCCCGCTTCGGCACCCGAGCCAATGACACCCATTTTATCGGTTTACTCGGTTGGCAAGTATAATAATAAAGAAAAGCTAGGGGTCGGGGAGCAAGACCCAAACTTAGGCATAGGTTCCGAAACGCTTGCATCGCGGCCCAAGCATTCGGATGCAATTGCGTCGGGGCCATGTTCAGCACTCGGAGTACCCCCATTTGAAAATCATCGAAGGGCAGCTGAATACCGAGGTCTTGGAACCAGCACATATACGCGTAAAAGTAGTCATATTCCTCGGGTCCCGGCTCCATAAAAACGAAATCAGTGTCCGGCCCGTCATCCACACACGCCTCGGCAAGCAACGGAAAGTAATCCTCCCCACTCCCGAAGCAATTTTCCAAGGACACAAACGTATCCAATAGCCCTTGGTCGGACAACTTAGAGAAGTAGATGCCGACTTCTCCGTCGACCCATTCATATCCTGACATCTCCACCGTGCTGTAGTCGATCTTTGCTTTGGGCTGAGTACTCGAGCCGACGACGCCTTTGCCTCGCACATCAACGGGCTCTACTTCCCCCTCGTTGCCCTCTGCCTGAACCACCTCAATATTTGGTTTCAGCTGATCGACATGACCTGCGCCTCTCGCATCTACCTCGGTGGCTTGCGCCAAAGCCACGGCCAAGGACGCTGGGTCCATTATTTCGACCACATCATCATCATTACCCTCCGATTCGGGGTGGTCGGAAGGGAAATAAACTTCACATTGCAGTGGGGGTAGCCTAGATATCTCGCTTGAACCCGACCCCTCCCTATCTGACTCAGTGCCAGACGCGTCCGACGATGTCCAACTCCTAGCCGAAGAATATTCCTTCTCCATTTATTACAAAATAAATAATTACAAAATTTACCTTGTTCGGTATGCTCAGAATTATGTTGTTCGAGAGAGCTTAGAGAAATTACAGCAAGTAAATTCTCTCACACCCACCCCCTATTTATAGGCAAAGGTAAATGGAGGAGGTGAAGAGACGCGCCCCGATCACGTCCGTTCGATCTTTCTCATCCAACGGTCCAGATTTAGTAACCGTTACACTCGTAACCGCTGAGGCCAACGTGGTAGGTCCCACTCACCTAAGACCTCGAGAGAAGGTATCGGTCACTCAATGTCTCAGCCTAGGCCTAATCCAATTGACGCCCATGCATGGGATCCACACCAATTACCGAGGCCTCGGCACTTGTCCGCCAACGCTCTAGGTCTCGGCATGTGCCTCATCAATTATCGCAGTCTCGACGCTAACCCCACCACTCACGGTCTCGGCATTGTACCGATACTTGACACTTATCCACCAAAGCTCGAGGCCTCGGCAGTCCCACCTATGACCAAGACCTCGGTACTCGTTCACCGATACTCGAAGCCTCGGCATGGTACCAAGACGATACTTATCCACCAATGCCTCTATCCTTATTCACCGGTGCTCGAGGCCTCGGTATAATGTCCTGAGCCCACCTCGATTGGCCACGCCTACAATCGTCAGGTCCTCGACGATGATCTCCATCACCCGAGGCCTCAAGTCCCAGCGACGTCCCGGCAGAGCCCTCATTAGTCGGTACCCCATACCACGACTAAATACCCATCCCTCCGAGTCAAACCACAGTTTTCGGTATTCTTTAACCATTTTCGTCTTTAACATCCTCAACACTGTGGGGGTTGTATACCGTACGGGCCCGAACCCGACCCAGCCGAATCAATGATTTGAACCGAATCGACCGAACCGACCGATACCCTAAACCATATTATTCATTATACCGACCATCGGAGCATGCCGATCCCTCACAAAATAGTAGTGATCGGCCTACTCGTCCAATCCACGGAATTCCTCTAATACGATTACGACAGTTTAATTTAAGTAATAAGCCGGATTAACCCCTAATTTTCCGGGGCCCAATTCCTAATCACGGCCCAATAAGGAACACTATAAATAGACCCCCTTCGAGGTACGTAACCAGATTTCACCTACCGCATTTATTTCGCCGAGCACTTACTTGAGCGTTGGAGTGTCTTTGCAGGCACACCCCCTCACATCGGACCACCCGGAAGAGAAGGAGAAGACCGAGACCTAGGACCCGACCCGCTATAGCAAGGATAATTGAAGTGTGTATCCTAACACAGGAACACAAATATTAAAATAAAAGCAATATTAACCCAACTTCAACTTTTACTCCAACAAAAAAAAATGTCATAAATTATTCGCTGTACCAGTTTTAACTTATTATATATGTGATAATCATCATAAATTGTAATACTATTGCCACCGTTTTGTCATTTAAATTGATATATATCGTCCTTTATTGTATATAGATATAAAAATAA